TGGCCCGGGTGCGCCGGGTGCGGAGCGCCGGGTCCAAGGCTGCACGCCCGGGCTCTGCGTGCCGGCGCGGGGGCGAAGGGGGGGTCCTCGGTTCAGCAGGGGTGTCGCTGGGGAGGGCCCGTCTGCGTCAGACCTGGCGCGGGAGCTCTTTCTGAGAGCCGCCAGGGGAGACGCTGAGCCCGGCCAGGACGAGGTGGCGTTTGGCACCTCTCTACCCTCTGGCTCCAGTGCTGACTGGGGAAATAATCGCTTTGATCGCTGCAGGCGGGATGGGGGTGCCTTTTGCCAGCACCATTCAAAGCCAGCAGTGGGCATTTGTATCTGACCTGTCCCCCCTGCATCTGTGCTACTGCGTGCCTGATCTTTAATGTCACTCCCTACTTCCCGCAGACAGGCCTGAGCGGGATAGGTGGAGCCCGTCCTCTCTGACCCCCTTCCCTGGGAGGTGAGCAGGCCTGCTGAGGCCCACGGTTAACTGTGAAGCCCAGCTCTGGGCAGGCTGGCAATGGGCAGGCTGCACTGGCCCCGGGCTCCGGGCTTGCCGCCTGATAAGGGCAGGGACAGCCATCAGTGTGACTGTGAGGAGGGGGCGCTTGCTCCTCCAGGGGCCCACCCAGCTTGATGGGGGCTCCCTCAGCAGTCCCTAGAGGAGGCCTGCTGCTCCCTGCAGCCCCCCACCGTGGTTCTGGCCCCCTCACATTGCCGGAGTGGAGGACATTTGTGGCAGTGGCTCCCAGCCCTCCTTGCCCCAGGCAAGGAGTATGTCCTCAGCATTGGAGGCTGGGGTGCCTCCCTGTGCAAGTGTGCATGATGGGAAATCCGCCTGAGGGCATATAGTGACTGACAACGGCCAGGATCCTTCCTTTGGGTCAAGCATTGCCTGCCAGGGATTGGGGGTGGTGGACAGGGTGCCCGGCTTTGTGATCCCCTGGGCTGAGTCTCTTGGGCAGAGGACAACAGAATGCAATAGTGTCTTGATGCCCTCTGATCCTGCAACTCCTGTTGGGCCAATTCCTGTGCCCCCTTCTCCCAAGCAGCCTCCCCCCGCTTGTATGCAGCCGGTATTGTCCTGGGGCCACCTTGGCACGACAGGTTTCCTCCCTGGCAAACCTGCGTGACTGCCCAGTCAGCCCTTCCCCAGGGCCAAGGCGCTGTTGCTGAGTTGACACTGTGATGGGGCCAGAGCTTTAAGCAGCAGCCCAAGTACCCCAGGGACCGCTTGGACCTGTCCGGAGCTGGCTGCCAGGTAAGCCCTCCTCATCCCGGGCATCCACAGGGCGGGAGCCAGACCTGGATGGTTCCCAGCTCCCGACCATGTCGTTCCAGAGGCCGAGCCAAGCTCGGACGCTGTCCCCTGGAGTGTAAAAGACCGAGGTGGGAGGGGGAAATGAGGGGAGGGAGGGCTGAGCGTGAGTGTCAGGAAGGGAGCAACCGAGGCAGTGCCACAGGGGGATGCCCGGAACTTAAGAGTCCTGTGGGACACAGAGCTGCCCCAGTCCCACCGCTGTGTCCCTGGCTAAGAGATTCCTGGAGGACGTTTTTCCAGGAAAGGAGGGAGACTGTCTGGGCACAGATTCCTGGATGGGCTTCCCTTAGCCTGCTGCTGGAGGTGCCTTGGGTGAGCTGGCTCGTGGGGAGTGTTTCTGGCTTAGTCTGGAGAATTGTAGAGTGCTGTCCGCTTAGGGCTGGGAACAGCCTTCCACCCCGCCAGCCTCCATGTGCACTTAAGGCTGCCTGGCCTCCCCTGGGGTTGCCCAGGACAGCAGTTTGTGGAGACCCATGGGGCAGAGGGCACATTTCAGTGTTGTCCTCTGCCCCCAGGGATGACGTGGGGCTTCAGAGCGGTTGACCTGGATCCTTCAGGATAGTCTAGTGACCAGTGAGGTAAGAATGTGGGGGACCTGAGAGTCATATGGGATGGATACAACCAAACCCCAGGCTTTGATGGGAGCCTGGGAGGCCGCAAAATAGGACCTGGCAGCAGAGGTATTCGTGACAGACACACCTTGGGTGTCCTAAACCCCTAGTTACCCCTGTGATGACCCAGTTGGAGTGACGGGGAACCAAGGTCTGGGTGAACTGCAGGTTGGGTAGAGAGCCGTGGCTGCGACTGAAAGTGGACTCACCCCACCTTTGAACCCTTTTTCCATGCAGTTTGTAAGTAGCCAAGTGATACAGAGCTTCCTACTAGTCATGACAAACAAGATGCAGGGTGGTTTTGGGAACCTTCTCTAAAAGGAAGGAGCCAGATAGAAACTCCATGGAGACAAACTTACCCTTGAGCTTGCTCTACAGGGCTGGGCTGTCAGCCTTCGGTAGGACCAAGAACTGCCATGGGGCTGAAGGAGGCATGGGGTGGGGGTGTCACGGGTATGGATTCAAAATCACCTGAGCTGCCCTTTGTTGAGTGTGTGACCTACGCGTAGGTCGCTGTACTAGTGTCCTGTGACTGCTATAACAAATTACCACAAAGTCAGTGACTTAAAACAACAGTTCGGGAAATAAGAAGCCTGAAATCAAGAAACAGGCAGGCCCATACTGCCTGGGGCTCTGGGGCAGGAGCCTCTTCCAGGTCCTGGTCACTCCCGGGAATCCTTGGCTTCCTTAGCTCACACCACTCTCACCTCTGCCTCCTTTGTCACACGGCCTTCTCTTCCCTGTGTGATTCTCCTCCCATGGCTTCTTCTAAGGACACTTGTTACTTGATTTAGGGCCCACCCTACTCCAGCATGACCTCATCTTATTTAATTACTTCTGCAAAGACTCTTTCTAAATAAGGTCAGATTCTGAGCTTCCAAGTGGACAAGAACTTGAGGTGGGGGAAGATACTGTTCAACCTACTATCACCGTAGCCTCGGCAAACCCCAGTTTCGTCATCTGTACAAGGAGGAAAATAAAATGTCCGTCTGGCATAGGTGTCATAGAGCACACTGCAGCACAGCACATTTTACTAACAAATATTCTATGGCTTTTTTTTCTTGTATGGTGTTAGGGATTGAACCCAGGGCGTTTTGCACACTAGGCAAGCCCTCTGCCACTGAGCTACACCTCCAACCCCTCTTCTCTGGTTTTATACTGAATCTTCCCACCTAGCCCATGGCCAGCATCCGTGATGATGAGTGGGCGGCTGTAGGACTCTGGAGACTAAGGCAGACACGAGGTGGCAGTAAAGCTAGCTCACAGGGTGGGGCAGCTGGGATAGGGGCAAGGGAACAGTGCTTCCCACCATGGTAGTAGCCTATAAAATTCCTGGATGGGACGCTGGGTGCAGAGGAATGGGCAGGCACCACCAAGGCAAGGACTTATCTCCAAGGGAAGGGGAGCCTTCGGAGAGGTTTTTCGCGGTGGAGGAACCTGCTCAGGTTTGCATGCGGAGCACTAGGGCTGCGTCAGGAAAACAACAGCAAGGTCGCAACCTGTGACTAGGAGCCAACCAAGTGTCGGGGGTGGTTGAGAGGACTGGGAGAGCAAATGCAACTGAGAGGGGCTTTGCAGGTTGGAACAACTGGAAAGGATGAGCCAGGACTTGGGAATGCTGTGTGGGGCTGGACTATGGCTTGTGTGGCCAGGGAGGCCTGGGGAGGGCAGTTGCTCAGCTCAGGTTTGGGCTTGTCAACCTGTATCCGAAACCTCAGCCAGTGGCTCAGTCAGACTCACTGTTGTAGCAGCCCAGCATCCAAGAGGCCAGGGAGGTAGAGGAGGCACTGCGACAGACAGAGCTCCCTGCAGCTCGGGAAGCCTGGGTGAGCCAAGCAGGGTGTGCATGGCAAGTGCTGGGGAGCTTGAGCATCAATGAAGTCATGGGTTGTTGCGCTTGGCCAGGTGTTGGGGTGTGACCCAAGAGGCCATGACATAGGGGTGGGTTGGCTCTCCTGGAGACCAGGCCATGTGATGGGATGGGGGCTGCGAGACAGACAAGACAGCCTTTCTCCCCAGCGCCCTGGAGCTTGCAGACACCACAGATAATTACCAGGTGATGTAATTATAAAGGCCACCTAGAGAGGGTTTTGTGGGCAGAGAGGACGGAATGGCCAGGATGGGGGACGCTCAAGGCCTCTGCTCTGAGCTGTTCAGCAGGCAGGAACAGAGGTGGCTGCAAACCCTGGAGCCAGCCCAGCCCGGTGAGGCTACAGAGGTAGTGGCTGCCTCGGACGGTCTGTGCATGGCCATCTCAATAAATCTACCCAATAACTTTCCTAGTTAGCCCTGATCTCCAGATAGGAAACTACGGCCAAGAAAGGCAGGGCTTCCCTGATCCTGCTGCCATCAGTGGCTGAGTCATGTTTGAACCTAGGGGCACTAGGACCCACTCCCCTCCCATTGTGCCTCTGAGTTGGGGAGTTGGACTTGGCCTACTAGGTGCCAGGCCAGCCCTGCAGCCCCAGATGCTCCCGGGCATTTACGAGCTGACAGTTCTGGAGGCCCACACACTTGGCTGAGCTCCCGTCTCCATCCTCATGTTAAAGGTGAGTGCTGCAGGAGGGAATGCTACACATGGTGCCAAGGGCTAGCAGCTAGGCGCTAGGGGCACAGGAGCTCTGCCCAAGCTGTACTGCCCAGTGCTTAGCTTTCTATTGATTCCAGATTTTGGGGTGCTACAGTCTCTTTCTAATGGCAGTTTCTAGGTTCTTTCCATCCTGAGCAAAGAATTAGTCAAGGTAAGTACAGAAGATAGTGAGATTTTTACATTTATTAAAAGTAGGAAAATAATCTGGCATGGTGGCATATGCACTTGGGAGGCTGAAGCAGGAGGATCACCATGAGTTTGAGGCCAGCCTGGGCTATATAGTGAGTTCAAAGCTAGCCTGAACTAGATAGCAAGACCTTGTCTGGGGAAAAAAAAAAAAAAGGAAAAGAACCAGGTTCTGCAGAGTGAGTTTTGGCCAAGTAAAAATAGGAAAAGAAATATACCCTACAGAATAAGAGCAGAGTATTGTGAAAGGACACTGCAGTCAAGTGTTCAACAGCGACTGTCCTTTTTGTATCTCCCACTCCTGGCATCAGGTCTAGGCCATCCTTTCCAAACTGCTCAAATGCTCGAGAGAAGACTGTGCAGGGCTTTGGGACCTGTTCTGCACCTGTGTTCTGGGATTTTGCAAAAATTCCTACAGTCATGCCAACTTCCCTTGCCAGTCGGCCTGCCCTAATGTCCTGCCTCACTCTCACCACTGGGTGACGCCAGCTCCTTCAAAGAGCTGGGCTCATTCCTCCATCTCTTCAGTGTGGTCTGTGTGGCTCTAAGAGGCTGTGGCCAGGTAGCCACACAGTCTAGGTGTCCCTGCTTCTCTGCTCTCCAGCTTCAGACCATTAACAGGGTCTGAGGCCAGGCCCTTCAGCAACAGGCTGACAACTCTTGCAGCTTTCAGAAGGCACCGATAGAGGCAAAACGGGGCTTGATGCTGTGAAAAACTTGCAAACCTGCGGTCTTGCTGTCTTTAGAGATGGTGAGCTCCCTGGGGTGGTGGTGCAGGAGTGTAAGTATTTCTGGACTGCTAGAAGACCCGATCAAACATGTGAGGTTCTGTGATTCTAAAGGTGCCTGAGATGCTATGACATTTGGGCTGGGTGTGGTGGTGCACTCCTGTAATCCCAGCTAGTTGGGGGGTTAAAACAGGATTGCCAGTTTAAAGCCAGCCTGGGCAATTTAGCGAGACTGCCTTAAAATAAAATGTAAAAAGAGCTGGGCACGATGGCCCAGTGCCTGTATTCCCAGCACTTAGGAGGCTGAGGCAGGAGGATCACTGTGAGTTCAAAGCCAGCTTGGACTACATAATGAGTTGAAGGCCAGGCTGAACTACATAGTGAGACCCTGTCTCTAAATAAATAAATAAATAAATGTAAGAAAAAAAAGAGGCAGGGGAAAGGATCTGTTCCTTGGACTCAATCTCATATATATATATATTTTTTAAAGCTATAATACTTGGATTTGAAGTCAGTACATCCCACCAGTTTACTAAGTGGAGGCACAAATGTCCTGGATGATATCAGGTTTCCTGACTCCCAAGGGGCTCTGAGATCCTGTCCCAGCAGTTTTGGAAGGAGGGGCAAGTTTGGCCACACTCACTTTGCTTATTCATAGTGAGGCTGCAATTCAGTGTGTCAGAGCTCTATCTCGACCTCTGAGTGGCCCATTCCAGCTCCAGACTTCCTGATACTTCCTGGTCCTCAGGTGCTGTCAGCTTCCTGGGCTCGACAGAGAGGCGGGGCACGGTAGCGCTGCAGTCAGAGAGATGGCAGTTTTGGAGAGTGGTTTGCATGCTTTTCCCCATCTTACAGGTCTTCATCCTCCTGAGCAGCTTTGGGAGGTCCCTTTCCTTCCCAGCCTTTGCATTCTGCGTGGGAGCACATTTCTTCCCCTATCAGAGTCTTTTTTCTCAAATACCGAAGTGGCCCTGAGCCTGTCAGGGTAGAAAGGGCCTGGGAGGCTACTACAAGCCCATTTCTCTGAGGGAAGCTAGGTTGGGTCCTTAGCCTCACCCTAGACAGCCCCTTGACCTCCTATCTGGCCCAGTCCCCTGAGGTGCTATGGGCTGCTGGTGCCAGCCTGAAAGGAATGATTAGGAGATGGAAGGCATTGGGGTGGTGGCATGCGGCTACCCCTACCAGGCCAGCCTAATGCAGGAAATCTCCTCCAGGAGCAAGGGCACAGAAAGCCCGCAGCTCAGCCAGCCCACACCAAGCTGCCCCATCAGCACCCTCTTCCCATGGCCCCTGCCTTATGCCCAAATCTGGAACTGGCTAAGGAGCTAATGGGTACCTACCAGGGTCTTAATGAGTGAGCCAGGGTTAATGGGTTACCCAGCATGGTGACATATTCACCAGCCTCCTAGAGCTCTCAAAGTCCAGGCTGAAGTGAACTTCAAGGTTTAGGCTCTGCCACTTCCTTTTCCAGCCTTGACGCCTCAGGGATCAGAAAGAGCCCCGGAGGTCAAGAGGTCCCGGTTTGCTGCCTGCAGGCTCAGGCGGTTCCTGCGGCCTGGTGTGGCTTTCCCTAAAGCAACCTCCACTCTGATTGGATCTCCAAACCCCTCATTCTAGTGTCCGCCCCGCCCTCAAAGCCCTAGCTCCTCCTCCTCGGTTGGTAACTCTATCTTATCTCCCCCAGGCGGGAGCTCCAAGGAAGAAGACTCTGGAGGGGTCCGGATGGGAGAGGGGAATGAGTGAATGTGTGAATGAGTTTAAGCCCATGCCGTGCTAAGGGTGGCAACGACCCTGTGTGGACCTTAATGTAAGGGCCTACAGCTTTGCTAGCTGTGTGGGACACCCGCTTCAATGGGCCAAAGCCGAAGGCATGGCTGGGCCCCCCTCCCCCGGCCTCTGCTGTCAGCACTGACTGCCACAACCCCGGAAGTGAGGGATTAGCAAAGTCTCTCCTGGGTCATGTGACTCCTTTCAGTGCAGGGGACCAGAATCATAGGAGTGACAGCCCCTACACCCCAGAGTGTCCCCTGGAAAGGGGGGAAAGGGCGTGTTTGGAGAGGCACCCCTACGCTGGAGTTATGGAGGGAAACCCAGGCTCCTTAGACTTTGTGACACTTCAGATGCTCCCAACCCCCATGGCCTGGGCATCTGGCTGTACCTTAGCTCTATGTGAGCCCTATTTGGACCTGCCAAGGAGGGGGAGACCGCCTTTCCCAGGGAGCTTTTGGCTTAACCTTCCTCTCTCTGGCTGAAACCCTGCCTCTTTCAGTTGCATTGAGGTCCCCTGGGCTTGGGTTTCTCATGACGGGTTTTGGGACCCTACGAGGTTCTGAGGGACCTGCAGCTGTTCCAGGTCACAGGGCCCCAGGGATTGGCCCAGCAGTCAGCCTTCTTCCCACCTGGAGTAGTTCTGTACCTTTAAAGCCTCCTCCCACCCTAAGCAGCCAGAGGGAGGGAAGGGAGGAGCTGGGTCACAGCTGGGGATGGGGATTTAGCTATGTGCTGGTGTGGGTCTTGGAGTCAGGTGAGCCCCGGGGCTGTGTGACTGTGAAGCACTCCTCACCCTCTCTGAGCTTCAGGTCAGCATTGTGGGGGAGTGCAGGTTTGGGCCCTTCCAGGAGCGTGTGGAGACCTGGGTGCTACTCCTCAGCTCTGCCACGCTGGCTGTGCTGTAGAGGAGATCCCGCGGGAGCGCTGGTTCACACAGCTGCGCAGCGGGAGTGAGTGAGCCGCCTTCCAGGTGAGGGGCCATGCTGCTGTGGACAGGTCTCTCTCTGGGACTGCCCAGATAGGAGGAGCCCTAGGTTCTTTCTTGCAGCTGGGATTGGGTTTCTTGTCTGATAAGTGGGTTGGAGACACCTTGCCCGGGATTTGTGGCTTGCTCCGCTGGGGCTGTGGGTGAGTATGGGGCTGGAGGAGAGGTACCTAAACCCTCAAAGGACGCCAAGGCTCCAGGAAGTGGACTTGGAATTAAGTGGGAGGGGTACAGCTCGGACACACTGAGCCCCCCGGCAGCGGGGCTGAGCTCTGGAGTGGAGTGGAACTGTGATGGGGCCGGGAAGCACGGGGTCCCCTGGCCATGCTGGCCCTCTGGGCTCTGGCTGTGGCTGGGGGTAGGGCTCATTTTGCAATGAATCGTTACTCAAGTCCAAGGGCCTCTTACCACCTTGAGGTCACCCGAGCCACATGTAGCTCTTTCAACAGATTTCCCGCAAGTAGTGGTAATAAAGCCTTGGTGAAGGGCTGGGTTGTTTTTGTTTTTATTTCCCCTAATTCTCAACCCTATGCCACCTGGTTGGGCAGAGAGGGAGGTGGATTCCAACTTCAGGGCTGGGGAAACCGTGACGGTCTGGAGCAGGGGCACAATTCCATGCCGGGGGCTGCTGGGGGAGGCTGGGCCTTGGGCTCACCTATGTGAGCAGGGTCAGCTGACTTTGAGCAAATCACTTCTGCGTAAGCTTTGGTTTCCTGTCTGTGAATGGGCTTGGGTCTGTGCCCCGTTTTCACTCCTGTAGCTCCTGGATAGTGACACAGCCTTCGAGCTGGGCTGCAGGATTAGCAGAGAAACTCCAGGCTGGTTGTGCTGTCGGCGGCTTCCTTGTGCTTCCTGTTGGTTGTGTCCTGGGAATTGGCTCTGCTCAGCCTGGATTCACTCTGGGGTATGTGTGTGTGTGGGAGTAAGCGTGAGTGTGTGTGCACATGTGCGTTGGGAGAGGATGGTGCTGACAGCAGAGTCAGCACCTCTGGCTGAGTGCGCCGTGCACATGCCTGGGAATGGGGAACTCACCCCCTTATGTACACAGCTGTCCGGGAGGTGGGGAGGAAGCGTGGCTCAGGGAGGAGGGGCGCCGCTTGGCAGATGAGGGTCAAGAGGGAATGGAGAGCGCTGTCCATGGCCCACTGGGCAGAGTCCACAGCTGCTTCTCTTGGTTAGCTGGTCAGGGACATGCAGCAACCTGGGGCAGGTACTGGGTGGCAGCCTATGTGACCTTGGAACCGCTCTGGCGTTCGCTGGCCCCTGCCTTTCTAGGCTGTTCAGGCGGCTTCTCAGGCCTGGGTACAAATGTTCCTTCATTGGCAGTGAAACCCGTCTGGTCACTGGGTCCTCTAGGCCATGCATGTTCCAAGGATGCACCTCTGACGTCTGGTAGCAGGATGTGGCCAGCCTCTTAGGTCCCCACTCTTGTCTGGTGCAGGGGACACTCCTACTGCACTCCCCCGGAGCCATCTCCGGGACACCATGTCTGCCTCTGAGTTCAGATGCTCTGAACAGGGACAGGGTGAGCCAGAGGGACCCCACTGGGGCTCCTGGAGGGACTCACTGGTGGATGCTGCCCTTTGAGGGGAACCGAGTCAGACAAGGGAACTTTTCCCAGGCTCGAAGTACCTCCTATCACCTGCCCAAGGCCCTCCCAGGGCTGATGAACTTTAATCACCTGGTGACAACCCCAGTCGCTGCGCCTCCTTGCTCCTGTGACGTCAGCCTCTGACCATCCTCCCAGCCTGGCTGGACCTCAGGCAGAGAACTGCCTGTTCTACACCCTATTCAGATGCCTCCAGTTGTCCACAAGGATGCTGGGTGCTCCCTAGCTGACCTCCTGCCCCCCTACAACTAGGTAAGCACACGAGTCCTTGGCCCCCACTGCCCCTCTCCTGCCCGTGCACCTTGGAGGTGCCCACCCCCAGATCCTGATCCCAAGCCCGGGGCCCCTGGAGGAGCTCTGCAGGGACCGCAGGCGTGGCTGTAGCTGCACGGAGGGGGGAGCTATAAGGCGGTGGGGGGGGACCCCATCTGTGGCCAGAACTTTCCCAGGCAGAAAATCTGCCTCTTCCTCCCCAGCTGGTGCCCCAGGCCAGAGGAAGAAGGGGCCTCTCTCCTGGGCCTCAGGTAAACCCACCAGGGTTACAAGGAGGGAGGGGTCTGGGTTGAGGCCCAGCACTGCCACTTGTCTACTTTCTGGCCTCAGTTTCCCCTTTGACATTGGTTTGGGTGCGAGCCAGGCTCTTGTCTTAGACATTCTTTTAGGAAGTGTGAAAAAGTTAGGGGTGGAGGGATGGGAAATGGAAGCCTAGTCTCCCAGCAGGGTGTCTTCCGCTGGGCTGGGGACATCTGCTTGTGGGAGGCTAGGCCAACCTTCGCTGTCACAGCGTCCTGGGACACTCCGTGCTGCCTCTCCCTGCACTCCCTGGAAGTCTGAGCCTTGCTGGGTGTCCACACTTGGGTCTGGGAGAGGACAGATGGACAAGGAAGCGGGAATATGTGTCTCAGGGTGTCAGGGTTGGTTCACAGTAGGGCCTTGAGGGGAGCCTCGGCTCATAGCCCCAATCCTGAGAGAAATGAGGCCAGAGATGTCTGGGGTGGGCCAGGGAGGTGGTACCAGCCAAGCCCGGGCCCTGCCCCACTGCTTGTGATGGGAATGTTCTATCTGCAGTGGATGCCACATGTCACTGGTCCAGCTCCTGCGGCTCTTTGGAGTCCCAGGGTGACTTTCTCATGAGGAACTCTTGACCCTGACCTCCTCCAAGACCCAGGGTGTCTGCGTTCCCAAAAGGCTGTCAGGGCTGGTGAAGGGTGTGGGCCATGTTTAGAGCAGGGAGGAGGGCAGGGCTTGGTCCGCAGTCTGGACAGACAAAGCCCTCTAGCCACATTTTGGAGGACTGAGTGGTGGGAGAGCCTAAGAAGGCGGTCAAGTGGCATTCAGGTTGGAATCGTGTCTAGATTCAGGCTCTGGTGCCCAACATGGAGAGGAGGGCTGCTTTGGACCCTGCTGGGGACAAGGTTCGTGGTCTGCTGCATCCCCACTTGCCAGGCCTCTCTGCTTTGGGGCTCAGTGTCCCCTTCTGCCTCTAGAGCTGGAGATCTCTGTTTTCCTACAGAAGATGAGGGGTCCCATGCTGCCACGCTACGCATCACCTCACGCCTGCCGAGCGCTTCCCCTCTGACCTGAGGAGTGCTCCCACGAGTGTGGGGAAGGAGACAGGGATTCCTGCCCTAGGTCTTCTCTGGGATGCTGTCTGTGTCTGGCTCTGGGTCCAGTTGCTCTGAACAGAGACAGGGGAAACCACAGGGGCCCCGCCTGGGGGCCCCCCTGGAGGGGCTCACTGGTGGCTGCTGCCCTTCGGAGGGAATAGCATCTGGGAGAGGACACTCCTGCCTCTGCCACCACATCCCCCTTTCCCTGTTGCGGTCAAACCCCTCACTCGATGCCACAGCCCTGGGGACGCTGAGGCTGCTGCTGTCCTCCACACAGCCTGAGAGAAAATCCACAGGGAAATATAGAGTCAGCAAGAGGTCACTGATGTGCCCCATGCCATGCAGGCATCCCTGGAACATCCCTTTAGTGTAGCCATGTGATAGTGGTAGCTCTCAATTACTTAGCACTCTGTACATTCTAACCCACTTCACTCACTACAGCCCTGACAAGCGAGGCCAGCCACGGACAGAGAAATGACTTGCCAAAGCCCCATAGCAGGTTCCACTCAGAGGGGCAGGCTGGTTCCGGCCCCCCGGCCCCTTTTGTCGTGTGAAGCACCCCTGGGCTTGAGCAGGAGTACCCTCTACCCTCCCCGCTCTGCAAACTGGGCTGCGCCTGGGAGAAGCGCTGGGAGAATTCATGCAGACATGCGTGCTGCTGATAGCCTCTTTGACTCCAGAGTTCAACTGGAGGCAGAAAACCCAGCCAGAGGTGGAGGGAGGTCACATCGAGCCCCCCGGAAAGGGCCGGGCCTGCTTCAGGTCCACCCTTGTGATTTCAGGAGAACGAGGGAGCTGCCTGGCGGAGGAGTCTTTAGAGAAGACCCTGTGGCCACAGGGTCCGGCAGAGCACAAGGGAGACCCCAGTTACTTCTCCAGCTGTCTTCAGCCAAACCTTCTTTGGAGCCACCTTCCCACTTCCTGCTGGTCGGTAAGTTCTGGCGCTGTGGTAGCTGGTTGCAGATTTCAGGAGGAGACTGAGGGGGCCCCCTTGCAAGGCACAATGGATGCTTAGTCGCCCGCTCTGTGCCGGGCTGCCCTGGAGAGAGCGAAGGACAGTGCCAGGTTCTGGGCTGCGCTAAGGAACACAGAAGGAATAAGGCCAGGCCTGTCCTTTCTCGAGCTCCCTGTAAGGCTTGATTGCTGTCAGGAGGTAGAAAGGACACGTGAAGTCTGAAGGGGCGCCCAGGGAGGGGTCCCTGTTGGCCTTGAGGTCCTTAGGGGATGAGCCCTGCAGATTCACAGAGAAGATTTGGGAGGGCAGAGACGGGCCTGGAGCTCCCGGCAGAACAAATGTCCCGGTCAAAGGTCTGGGGCCTGGACACCCGCACATGTTCTAGGAGGCCGGAAGGAGCCTCAAGGCTGTTCTTGAGCGTTGACTTTAGACTGTGCCCTGGGAGGGAGGGACCTGGGAGTGCCCGAGGCTGGACCTGACCCCACTCCTGCCCTCTGCTGTGTGGCAGAGTCATGAAGAAGCAGTTTGTGGTGCTGGGCTTGTTGGCTGTGGTTCTGCTGCTGGTCATCGTTGGTCTCTGCGTCTGGCTGCCCTCCGCCTACACGCACCCCGACCATGTGTATGCCAGGGCGGCTGTGGCCGCCGATGCCAAGCACTGCTCGGAGATTGGGAGGTGAGCGGGACCACCTGACCTGGGGCAGGGTGTCGGGGACTGGTGCCAAGGCCAGGCCCTGGAAGACAACTGTGCAGTAGACCTGGGCAAGACCTTTGTCTCTCTGACTCAATTGCTCTGCCTAAATAGACTGCCTGCACTAAGGGTGCATTGAGCTGCTGCCTTTTCCTTGGACCCTTGGCGTACCTGTCTCTTTGGATTAACCCTGCTATTCTATTCTATTTTCCATTCATATCTCACATTATATACAAAGATCAGTTTTCACTTGAAGACTTAAGCAGAGAAAATATTATCAATAAAAAATAATTAAGCCGGGCCTAGTGGCACACTGCTGCAATCCCAGCTACTTGGGAGGCTGAGGCAGGAGAATTGCAATTTGAGATGAGCTAGGGCAACTTAGTGAGACCCTGTCTCAAAATGAAAAGCAAGAAGCACGCAAAGCACCATTTTCCTTTTTAAAAAAATTAAGTAAGTTATGTGTACTGGTTTGATTAGAAAAGAGGAAACTTAAATTTTTTTTTGTTTGTTTATTTTGAGACAGGGTTGCATTATGTAGTGCAGTCTGGCCTTGAACTCACTTATGTAGCCCATGCTGGCCTCAAACTCATGGTGATCCTCCTGCCTCAGCCTCCCAAATGCTGAGATTACAGGCTTGTGCCACCACACCCAGCTAATTTAAATCTCTAACAAACAAAAAATCTAGCTGGGCCTGGTGGCACATGCTTCTAATCTCAGCACTTGGGAGGCTGAGGCAGGAGGATTGCTGCGATTTTGAAGCCAGCCTAGGCTACATAGTGAGACCTCTTTTTTTTAAAAAAAATCTTACAGCTTCCTCCTCTGTCTCCCTTTGGGCCAGGTGGCCTGGTAGAGATGGGCAGGTAGACAGCAGGGTATGCACGGGGGCTGGGGGCCCTTAGGATCTCACTCTCCTGTGTGCCACCGGCAGGGACGTGCTGCTGGATGGCGGCTCGGCAGTGGACGCAGCCATCGCAGGCCTGCTGTGTGTCGGGCTCATGAACCCTCACAGCATGGGCATCGGCGGCGGCCTGTTCCTCACCATCTACGACAGCTCCACGGGTGAGTACCTGGGGGAGGGCGAGTGGCAATGGGTGTCTGACTCAGGGTGGAAGTACGTGGCCCTGGGCCTCCCTCAGGGGGCAGGTTTGCTCATCCTGCCTACCTGCTGCTTCTTCCAGGGAAAGCTGAGATTATCAATGCCCGCGAGGTGGCACCCAGGTTGGCGTACACCAGCATGTTCAACAGCTCGAAGCAGTCCGAAGAAGGTGAGCCATGTGGGAGGCTCAGGGCCTGGGTGCAGAGCTAGGATGGGCCATGGGGAAGTTGGCTGAGCCACTTGAGCACGACCCTGTCCAGGCCTGGGACGCTGCTGCACTCCCACTGGTTCCTGCGGCCCACACCCGCCGGTGTGAGCCGTCAGGCCCCTCCAAGGCCTGACCCTTTTGCTCAGGCCCCTCCAAGGCCACCCTGCAGTTGTAGATGGAAAGAATAATCACACAGGCCCTCTGGATCTGTGAATGCCACAGCCAAGGATTGGGCCAACTGCAGGTAGGCCCAAAAGAAAGGATTGCACCTGAGCCTGGCACTGTGGTACACACCTGTATTCCCAGCATTCTGGGAGGATGAGGCAGAGGGATCGTAAATTCAAGCCCAGTCTTGGCAATTTAACAATTCAGAGAGACCCTGTCTCAAAATAAGAAATTAAAAAGGGCTGGAGATATAGCTCACTACTTTGGGTTTAATCTCCAGTATGGAAAAAAATTATGTCCATACTGAACATGTACAGACATTTTTGCTTGTCTTTATTCCATACAGAACTATTCACATTGCATTTACATTGGATTTAGTACAATAAGTAATTAGGAGATGATTATCCAACCTGTGACCCAGAAGTTGGGTATGCCATTAAAAATGTTCTTGGGCCAGGTGCAGGTCAATAATCCCAACACTCAGGAGGCTGAGGCAGGAGGACCTTCCCCTAGTTTGAGGTCAGGCTGAGCTACATAGCAAGACCCTGTCTCAAAAATAAAAAATAATCTTTTTTTCAAAAAAACCTTTTTTTTGGTACTGGGAATCAAACTCAGGACCTTGCTTTTGCCAGGCAGATGCTTGTCCCACTGAGCTATATTCCTAGCCCCTCAAAAATATTTTTAAAAGGAAGTTTTATTACTTATATACATTAACTATGTTGTATGTTTTATATGTGGCTCAAGAGAATTCCTCCTCACTCAGTACGGCCAAGGGAAGGCAAATGTTTCCAACCCCTAGGCTGCAGGCTGGACACACGGGATTGGACGCGCCTGAATATGGGAGGGTGTGTGGAGGTGAACTGTGGACACTGCACCAGTTCATACAGGGTGCTTGAGTACCCATGGATTTAGTGTGCTTGGGGTGGGTCCTGGAACGAGTCCTCTCAGCCACTGAGGGACAGCTGCATTATTATTATTATTATTATTTTTTTTTTTCCGTACTGGGAATCAAACTCAGAACCCTGCACTTGCCAGGCAGGCACTTGTGTCCCTGAGCTATATCCCCGGCCTCTTGACAGCTGCATTATTATAACAACTCACACGTTCCTGGGGTCACTGGGGCTGGCCCAGCTTAGTGCTTTTTACCGATGAGCCCCTTGTATCCTCCCTGTGCCCTGGGGGATAAAGAGCGGATCCTGTATTGATTCCCATTTTACAGGTGGTGATGCTGAGGTCCAGAGAAATCATGCCCACTGGCTGAGGTCACACAGCTGGGATATGGTAAAGCAGGGATTGAACACAGGCTGTCAAAATCCTGTGTTTTTAACAGGCAGCTCATTCATTCACTCATCCACTCACTCATTCATTCATTCATTCATTCCTGTGTGAGGCTTGCCCTCTAGAGAGAGGCAGTCTTTCTTTTCTAACCTGAACTTCAATAGAGAGGCGACCCCTAAATTCTTCAGGTAGGTGAGGGGAAACCGGTGGCTCCCGGAAGTGCCACTCAAAGTAGGTAGAATGGGTACAAAGATAAGAGTTCGGAAGGTTGGGATACCACCCCAGTGGCCGTTCTGATACCTCAGGGGAGATCCCGGGTGGTGCTTTCTGAGTGACTTTTTTGGATTCCTCCCCAATGTACATAATCTTTGATTTTTTTTATACCCACTGAGAACTCCAAATGTATAAGGATGAAATTGTTCACTGCATGGAAATGCCGGAATCTTAAGGACTTAGCATCCTGCAGACACTTGGGTCTCATTTTTTTGTTCTTTTTTTGAGACAGGGTCTCTCTATGCAGTGCAGGCTGGCCTTGAGCTCACTTTGTAGCCCAGGCTGGCCTCGAATTTGCAACGATCCTCCTGCCTCAGCCTCCCAAGTGCTGGGATTACAGGTGTGAGACACCATGCCTGGCTCCTGCAGACACTTGGAGTTTACTTGAACCCCTCTTACGGCACTGGCCACTGTTCCCCCAGCCAGGGTATAAAGCAAAGAAAAAACAACCTGTAGCCTGGGCAGCCGGCATCCCAGCTGGACAGGAGAGGCTGCATAGATGCCAGGGCACCACGTGCTGTGGGAATAGCAGAGCTGGGGGGCCTCAGGAGGGGGTTTTACAGAGAGCAGCCTGGTCAGGGAGGGGACATCTGAGCAGGGACCCGGGGGTGGGGGTGGGTGGGTGTAGTCATGTGGGGTGTTGGGAAGAGGGGGAGATCCAACCATCCAGGTGGAATGGGCAGGGACTGAGCCCTGCAGGGAGCCACGGGGTCTGCCGACAGGGGGCGCAGGAGGAGGAGGAAGACACAGGGCCCCAGGGAATGGCCTAGGCCTAGGCTGGGTGGGACCTCATCTGTCACTGTGAAGCTCTTGCCTCTTGTCTGAGTGAGATGGGAGCCCCAGACTGTCTGGTGGGGAAAGAAAATCCACCTTATGGCTAACAACCCCTCGGGCCGCCGTGTAAGGGGCAGGGAGCCAGTGGGACCCGTTAGGCAGTCACGCCAACAGTTCAGGGGAAGCAGAGAGTGGTGGACAGTAGCTCGTGCTGAAAATATTCAGAAGACAGAGCCTGCAATTTGCCGACATTTTGGTTAGGACGCACGTGTGGGGAGTCCCGGAGGACCCCAAGGTCTTTGGGTGCTCCCAGATAAACAGGGTGGCCGAGAAGACCGGCAGGGCTGTGGTTTGAGCGGATGTTCAGCAGTGCTTTGCGGGGTATGGTGTGTCGAGATGCCTGTTTTGAGTGGGTAGGGGGATCCCTGAGTCTGGCAATCAGGGCAGCAGCCCACCCAGAGCGTAAACCTGGGAGCTGTCAATGCACGTATGGAAGCTGAAACCCAGAGCAGGAGGAGATCACCCAGAGAGATGGGAGGTGGTGGAAGACAGAGCTGCGGGCAGGGCCGAAGAGAGGATCCAAGTGGGCGTGGTGCAGGGTGGCTCAGGAAGGAAGAATGAACCCAGTTAGACGGAGTGCAGCAGGAGGTCTGGCAGCATGGGGTCGCCCGTGAGCCTGGCAAGCAGAGTGCTGTGAGAGCCTGATTGGCCCCAAGAGAGGCTGGCTTGCTTTTTCTTTCTTTCTTTCTTTCTTTCTTTCTTTCTTTCTTTCTTTCTTTCTTTCTTTCTTTCTTTCTTTCTTTCTTTCTTTCTTTTCTTTCTTTCTTTCTTTCTTCTTTCTTTTCTTTCTTCCTTTCTGTGGGAGGAACTGGGTATTAAGTGTCAAATCTTTAGTCAGGTGTGGTGGCACATGCCTGCTATCCCAACACTTGGGAGGCTGAGGCTGGAGGGTCACCATGAGGTCAAGGCCAGCGTGGGCTACATAGTGAGTTCAAGGCCAGCCTGGACTACATAGTGAGACCCTGTCTCAGAAAACAAACAAATATACAAAAATGTCAGCTCTTTCCAGATGGGCAGTTTCTAGGATCATAATAACCTGGCTCTTGGAAATTCATGCCTGGCTTCAGGTGGCACAGGGGTATGTGGTTCTAGAGCTGCAGTGGCCAAACCTGGGACTAGGCAAAGTGGGCCCCAGCACCTCAGTGGTGAAAGCAGGAGGGAGCCCGGGAGGGGGCAGGGACCCTGGCTGTACCTGTCTGGACAAAGCCATCAGGGCCTGGCTTTGGATGTAGCACCAGGGGGGCAGAAGGGCTTGGTGGGGAGTCAGGCCCCAGGATCTGTTTTTGATGAAGTCACGGGCTCCTGGAAGTCCTCCGTGGAATAAAACCCAGTATAATCAGATGGGGGAAACTGAGGTCTGGGGAGAGGACAGGGCAGGGATTAGGGCTTGGGAAGCAAAGAGGAAGGGTGTTCTTTCCTGGAGTTGGCATAGCTTTGAGCTACCTGTAGGGGCAGGGCAGGGCCTGACCTTGCTTTAACAAGTTCTTTGTTTTGTTTTGTTTTTTGTTTTTCTTCCGGTATTAGGAATCAACTCACGACCTTGCGCTTGCCAGGCAGACACTGTGCTGCTGAGCTAAAACCCCAGCCTCTTGCTTTAACAAGTTCTGGTAGAACTCAGGCATCTTATTGGACAAGAGGATTTGTGGCTAGAGGTGGCTCAGACTGAGAGACAGGAGGGTTTGTCCGGTCTCACTGGGCCACCAGGGTCTTGGCATAGCATGCAGGTATGGGCACACTGTGGAGAAAGACATCTGATCCTGGGACAGCAAAAGCCAGCCCATGTGACAGCAGCTTTGTCTTCTGTCCCCTGCCAGACATTCCTGTCTTTTGCCTGTCAAACCCAGATAGGATTTTAAAAATCTTTCCTTAGGCCAGGCATGGTGACGCACGCCCACACACACCTGTAATCTCAGCACTCTGGAGGCTGAGGCAGGAGGATTGCTGCAAGTCTGAGGCCAGCCTGGGCTACAAAATGAACTCAAAGCCAGCCTACACTGCACAAAAAGACAAAAAAAAAAAAATTTCTCCTTAGGCTGGGGGTATAACTCAGTGGCAGAGCACTTGTCTAGCATTTGTGAGGCCCTGGGTTTGATCCCCAGCACCGCACACACACATGCACACACACGCGTGTGCACACACATGCACGCTCCATTGCTTTTGAAGCCTCACTAGCCCCCTCTATCAAAAGGGCCAGGGAAGTTGCCTAGGATACTACCCTGCTGGGGACCACTAGTCACCCCTCTCTCTGTCTGCAGGGGGGATGTCAGTGGCAGTCCCTGGTGAGATCCGTGGCTATGAGCTGGCACACCGGCGGCATGGGCGGCTGCCTTGGCATCGCCTCTTCCAACCTAACATCCGGCTGGCCCGCGAGGGCTTCCCTGTGGGCAAGGGCTTGGCAGCAGCCCTGAACAGAACACAGACTGTCATTGAGCAGACGCCTGGCCTGTGGTATGTCTGCAGGCATGGGCCTGCCGCCCAAGGCCCCTGACACCCAGGAGGGCCTGATGGAGCTTTCAGGGCTCTGCTTTCAGGAACCTGCCCTGGGTGGCCGACTTTGGGACCCTTACTGGACACTGGTAGGCCATGTAGCTGGAGTGGCATAGGACGCTAGGAGCCCTGAGCGACAGGGCTACCCGTCTGTGGTTAGGCCCTGTCCATCCTTTGCTTGCCGTCCCTCGAGAACAGAGTGGAGTCACGCAGGTTGAGGGGAGCAGTGTATGGGGATGCTACGGCCGATTCCACCTCACCTGCTGCCTTACATGAGTTTCTCTGCCCCAGCGAGATTTTCTGCCGGAACGGGAAGGTCCTTCAGGAGGGGGAAACGGTGACCATGCCACGGCTGGCTGACACGTATGAGACGCTGGCCCGAGAGGGGCCCCAGGCCTTCTACAATGGCAGCCTCACGGCGCAGATTGTGAAGGACATCCAGGATGCCGGTGAGTAGGGGGCTTTGGGGCCTGAGTGGGGAACCCCACAGTGGGATGCTGGAGCCAGGGGCCAGTCCCTGGGGCCCTCCTGTCCTGTTTGCACTAGCACTGGCCCCCAAGGGCCGCCTTGGCAGGGGAGGGTCAGTGACAGGCCAGTGGGACCACACTCCTGGCTCAATCGCAGAATCTATGCAGTTGGGAAGAAAGTGGGTTAGTTTGGGTGTGGGCAGGAACGGGGACTGAGGGAGCACTTCCTGTTCAGAGCGGTGGGTAAGCTGCGGCTGGCCTTGTCAGGTCCGGAGAGAGATTCCTACTAGGTGCAATGGCTTGCGCTGAGACGCAGGGGGGTTTTGATTCTCTGGGAGGGATGGGCTGGGAGAGAAGCATCTGGAGGGGTTTTTTGCTCGGTGGCCACAGAGAGAGAGGAGAAGGCAGGCCGGAAGGCAAGCAGCTTGAGGACAGCCGGTCCAGCCTGGCTGGTGGGACAAGCACTGTCAGGGAGAACGCAGGCCTGAGCCCTCAAGGCGGGGCGAGGCTCCCAGCGTGCCGTCCCTGGGACCCGTCCTGGTGGTGTCGGCCATCTTCCCCCTGTGGTGCATCCCTGTCTTCTTACTCAGTGGCGAAGCCCTTCATGCCTCTCCTCCGTGCAGAGGAGCCCTGACCCCCGGAGCATACCCTTGTTCCTTCTTCACGCTGCAGCCCCATCCGTCTGCGCAGTTTTGCAGTTCAGGCCCCCGGTAACGCGTCCCGGATCCCTACCATGGTGCAGCCCCATCCCTGTGTCCACTGAGCTACTGTCCCATTGCAGGGGGCATTATAACCACCGAGGACCTAAACAACTACCGCGCTGAGCTGATCGAGCACCCGCTGAACATCAGCCTCGGGGACTCGGTGCTGTACACGCCCAGCGCCCCACTCAGTGGGCCTGTGCTGGTTCTCATCCTCAACATCCTCAAGGGTGAGCGGCCTCGCTACGGCCCTGCAGCGGGTGCACGACTCTGCCTGTCCTTCCCCACGCTCCACGGCCGCGACGCCTTTCCGTCCCTGAGCGCCCTCAGTGCAGCCCCGCCTCGGGGCTTGCCCTGCTCCTGCAGGAGGTGGTGCAAGTGACCGGGCTATCCAGGGTGGGCAGAGCGCCTGGGCTGGGGGATGAGGAGTGGTCGGGCGGGAGACAGGTGCGAGATTTCAGGACAGGGGTCTGGTCCAGAGAAGACGTTTGGGTTTAGACTACAGAGCCCTCTGGCTGGATGTGTGCGGCCCTGCCTTCCTTTCTGGAGAGCTGGCCACTGCTTCTCAAGGTGGGCAACGTGGCTCAGGGAAGCCGTAACCTTTTGGGCCTCTCTGAACCCCTGGTTGCCAATAAACATCTGGCTCCAACCAACCAGGGTACAACTTCTCCCCGGCAAGCGTGAGCACACCTGAGCAGAAGGCCTTGACGTACCACCGCATCGTGGAGGCCTTCCGGTTCGCCTATGCCAAGAGGACCCTGCTTGGGGACCCCAAGTTTGTTGATGTGACTAAGGTAAGGGGCTGGCGCACACTGGACAAGGGTGAAGTCCCTGGAGCTACGCTAGGCTCACACGTGCTTTCTGAATCCATTTCTGCTGCCAACTTTGACTGGGGAGTCTACGGTGTGCTGGGATACACTGGTTACCCCAAGTCCTCACCTCTCCTTCATGGAGCTTATAGTTGGGAGGGCTGAGGCAACAGACTTGATAACAGGTAACTAGTGCTCCCTTTTCTGGCCAATTCCTACCTCAGGGCCTTTGCATATGCTGGGCTTGAAAGGTGCTGGTGTGGTCAGAGAGAAGAGAGAGATTGATGGGGATGTTGCAGCCCTCAGGAATGGTAAGAAGGAGGTACCAAGGTTGAGGAACCAAGGGGCAACCTGCTCCCTGGTCACACCCAGGGACTAATGCTTCCCACATCCCTACCTTGGGCCCAGCATCACCTGGCCCGCTCACGTAGCCAGGCACCCAGACTCACGCAAGGCCTCTGCTAGAATCCCTCGTGCATCCCTTCTGGCTAGGGGCCTAGGTCCCTCCTCACTCACTTGGATCCCTGGCATTCCCCATGGACTGGCAGACCTGTGAGCAGCCAGGAGGAGCCTCCGTGTTCCCTGATGAGCACTCCGCACCCCACCTGCCCTTGCCATGACCTGTGTCTTATCTCTCAGAGGGGTAGAAGCCCCCGTGTAGCCTCGCTCTGCCTGGCCCCTGGCTGAGGCTCTCTGCCTTCTGTTGCTGGCTCAGGGTGCACCCCACAGCACTCCTCTACCTCTCACCGTGTTCCCCTGTAACAGCTCCTCCCCGGGAGAGAGGCCTGCTGTCAGCTAGCGTGAACTTGCCAGACTCGCCCTCAGTCCCTTCGCACATGTTCTGTAAGCACTGGGGGGAGGCGACCCCAGGGCCTCATTCGTGCTAAGCAAGCACTATATTGCTGAGCCACATCCCCAGCTTACTCATTTGTATTTTTGTGGTCCTGCGGATGGAACCCAGGGTCTCATGCATGCTAGGCAAGCACTCTGCCACTGAGCTGCTTCCCTGCTGATTAAACCCAGGGCCTTTAAAAATTTTTTATTTTAGTTTTTAAATTTTGGGACAGGGGCTAAGTTGCCCAGCTGGACTTGAACTTGAGATTGTCCTGCCTCAGTCTCCCAGGGTGCAGGGATTATAGGGGTGCGTCACTATGCTCAGTTTACCCGCTATTCTCCCCCTCCCCCCATAGGGCAAGTCACCATTTCCTGCATAGTTGTCCATAGCCTGCTTCTTATCCCCCACTTGGCCACCAGAGGAACCTGTGAAACAAATTTCCAGGAAGCTTGTTCCTCTGCCCCAGGGCTAGGTGGCCCAGGGCAAAAAGCCAGAGTCGTCTTTCTGGGACCTATGAGGCCCTACACATGGGCCCTGGCCATTGTTTTCAGTCTCCTGTCCCCTCTTCTCATGCACTCTGCCTGGTAGCCCTGGGCTGCCGCCACTTGCCTCAGGGCCTTTGCACTTACCCTTAGGCCTCATTCTGGGCTCTTTTCAGATGGCACCTCCTCTAAGAGGTCCTTCCTAACCACTCTGTCTGTACTCCACCCCCCTCTATCCCCTCATTACCAGCACTTTCCCTGCCTGCTATTGTTTGCCCCCTTGCCGTGAGGGCAGGTACCTACGCATCTGTTCCCTGCTGATTGATTACTCATTCCGAGCATGTAGTACAGGTTCCATAAATACTTGCAGGAATGAATGTGGCTCTGGAGGTTTGAGGGATGGACAGATAACAAAGACAGAAGCTAGAGAGGGGAGGAAATGGGCCATGGGAGACCCTGGGCCTACCTTCTGGACCCTGGGTGTAGCCGCAGGAGGCTTAGGGTACAGGGAGGTTAGGGTCAGTCCTAAGACCTGCTCGAACAGCCCTGTGCCCCGCTCCCCATCCTCCTTCCCACCTCCTCAGGCCAGCTCTGGGGTCTCGGCAGGTCATCCAGAACATGAGCTCCGAGTTCTTCGCCGCCCAGCTTCAAGCCCGAATCTCTGACGACACCACGTTCCCGGTCTCCTACTATGAGCCTGAATACTACACACCTGACGATGGGGGCACTGCCCACCTATCTGTGGTCTCGGAGGATGGCAGTGCTGTGTCCGCCACCAGCACCATCAACCTCTAGTAGGGGCTGTGAGGCTGCTGGGCGGCGCAGTCCCAGGGGCTGCCTGCATGTCCCCCAAGGGGCCGCCTCCTTCCGCAGAGGGACGCGGCTGCCCGCCTTGGTTGGGCCTCCCAGGGACTGAGCTGTGCAGAGGGGTGGGTAGGGACCTAGCAGGGCTGCACGGGGGCGGGCATGGCTATCTGACCCGATCCATCCACAGCTTCGGCTCCAAGGTCATTTCCCAAGTCAGCGGCATCATATTCAACAACGAGATGGACGACTTCAGCTCTCCCAACTTCACCAACCAGTTCGGGGTGTCCCCTTCCCCGGCCAATTTCATCGAGCCAGGTGCCGGGTGGGGATCGGTGTTGGGAGGGAGCTGGTTTCCTGAGTGGGCAGCTGACCAGCGTCTCCGTCCCCTCCCGCGGGCCACAGGGAAGCAGCCACTCTCATCCATGTGTCCGTCGGTCATTGTGGGCAAGGATGGCAAGGTCCAGATGGTGGTGGGAGCCTCTGGAGGCACACAGATCACCACAGCTACTGCGCTGGTATGTGCCACCCACTGCCCGCCCTGCCGCTGTCCCTGAGCGGTGCTGAGCCCTTGCCACCTCTTCCCGCCCCCAGACCATCATGCATAGCCTCTGGTTTGGCTACGATATGAAGCGGGCAGTGGAGGAGCCCCGGCTGCATAACCAGCTTCTGCCCAATACCACAACACTGGAGAAAGACATTGACGAGGTGAGCCGGGAGCTGGGGAAACCAGGCCAGGGTGTGGGACTGTGGGGTTTCCTGGGCTGCAGGCCTGTATCTTCTGAGTCCTCACAGAGTGGACAGAGGCTGTCGTCCTCTGCCCAGGTGACACGGTCCTTAGGCCTGGTGCCTGGGTCATCCGGAGCCCTTGTGCAGGGAGGGCCAAGCCACCTGCTCGAGTGGGACCTCATAGGCCCGGTGCCCCAGCTTGCCCTTCCTGGTCACGTGGTTAGAAGCAGCACCGTGGGCCATGGGCCGAGGGCCGTGACCACACAGGAGAGGTTATGAGCACACCTGAGGCCCTGCTGAGCCTCTTCTCCTCTCACCCCTAGGCAGTGGCTGCGGGCTTGAGGACCCGGCATCACGAAACCGAGGTCACTCCTACCTTCATCGCTGTGGTCCAGGCCATTGCTCGAACAGCCCGTGGCTGGGCAGCTGCCGCGGACTCCAGGAAAGGCGGGGAGCCAGCCGGCTACTGAGTTCATTCGGGATAACCAAGACTGACCCGCAGCCCAGGGCCAAGACACCTGGGCCAAGAGTGGGACTTTAGGAAGGCGTGCTCTCTTGATGAGTGGCACAGCAGCGTAATAAACGGGGCCACGGCGTAGCGCTCTGGGCAGCGTTGCAGGCCAGGTCCCCCCTCGCTGGGTTTCAGAGTCCTGCATGTGAAATGGAGCCGTCCGACGGGGTGAGAGTGGAGGGCGTGATCAGGCCTCCATGCTCAGGTGCTGGAGCTAGCCTCAGCTTTTTCAGTTGGAGCTAGCCTGGCGGGGGGTGGATAAGGGGTGAGGGCGCAAGTCTATGCCAAGCACTGTCCTTACCCTGAACTCCAGCACCAGGGCAAAGACACTTCCTCCTGATAACCACCAGGGGGAGTGTAAGCCTTGACGTTGACCTGGGCGGCGGGCAGCTGCTGGCAAGCCAGGTACTTCCTCAGACTGGAGTGTCCCTGCTCGTGCTGCCCAGGGCATAAGGAGGTGAAAATGGGGTCTGAGAAGTAGGGATTGGACAAGAGGCTGAAAGGAAAATTCTGCAGAGCCACGCCTGGTGTCACTTTCCAAGCACAAACCCAGTCAAGCCTAAACGTGTGATCAGCTCCAGGAAGCCCAGTTCTCAGGGAACAGCAAGCTGGAGGAGATCAACGGTTCCCCCAGGGGAAGGCAGCCCAGCAGCGGGGGGTCTGAAAAGATCCTGCCAGGCACAGCATCCCACACCCGGGCCAGCCCCTCCGGATCTGTGCCAGGGCCATTTAATTCACTCTTCACATGCGGTATACACACGTATATACGCACACAGTATGCACACAGAATACACACTTGTGTACACATGGTATGCACATGCGATACGCACGCAGATACGCACGCCATATGCACACAGTATAACCCTGTGGGGGGGAGCTGGTGAAGGGTCCTAGAGGAGGGCTGGGGAGAGAGAGGGGTCACAGCTCAAACCCCTGATTTCACCCCTGATTTCAGCCCCAAAGAACAGGGCTACACTCGCTAGCCAGCACGTAGGGGCTCAGAGAGCCTCAAGTAGGGGGGTCCTGCGGACCAAGAGGGGGCTGGGGCAGGCACGAGAACTTGGTGCTTCCAAAGTACTCCAGGAAAATAGGGTTTTGTGCTGCAGGGTGCTAAAGCCTGAGGGCTCCGTCTCTGGGTCCCAAAGAAAGAGACGAAGGCTGGCAGGGGGTGACAGCCCCTCCTCAATCCTTGTATGAATGCGAGAAGAAAGGCCACAGTCCCATTTGCAGGAGGGAAGACTGAGGCCTGAGGGGCGGGCTCAGGGCTGCGCCATGGGGAGGAAGGAGGGCCGCCTGTGAGGCTCTCTGAACCCCTACATGCTGGCTGGCAAATGTAGCCCTGTTCTCTGGGCCCCATGAGGCATAACCCAGGGCTGCTTCAGCGTCTGGAAGACTTCAGTTCCTGCTCCTTCCTTCCCGTCATCCCCGCCTCTGCCACCTCTTGGATGAGGACAGTCAGGGCCCGTCCCAGTTGGGCTCCCCAGCAGAGCCTCCGGCCAGGCCCAACCCCACTCTGATCCTTTCCCTCGGCCTTTGCACTGCGGCCTGTGCAACCCAGCCCCCGGCCTGACCAGGATGGCTGGCAAGGGGAGAGGAGAGGGGAGGGAAGATGTCCAGCCCCTTGACCCAGCTGTCCTTTTGGTCCCCGCTGCCCTGGCCTCTGAGCTCTGAGGGCTACAGTGGGTGGGTGGCCTGCCCCACTCAGGAATGCACTTTGGTTCGTGTTGAGCAACGTCGCTGCGTGAGGGTCGGTGGGGACGGGAAGAGGCGCCCTCGGCCCCTCCCTCCTCGAGGCAGCGTGGGAACGGGCCTCGGGGAAACGCCCTGTCTGGCCCAGGCTGACCAGGGGCTCTGCGTACAGAGGCCTGGCAGGCTGCGTGGCCTGTGAGGCAGCAGTCCCTCTCTGAGCCGCACCTCCCAGCTATACCAGGGAATGGGCTCTAGTGCAGAGACCCGGGACTGGCAGGGCTGAGGGCAATGGGAGGACGTGTGGGGGCCGAGGCTCCGTGTGGCTAGGAGTCCTGCCCACTGCGCCCTGCACCCATGCTAAGCTAGGTCAAGGGAGTGCCTCCGTGGGCCCTCCTCCCCGCAGCTGCCCAGCAGTTAGACACCATAAGGACCAGAGAGGAGCCAAGCCAATGTTCCCAGAGGAGGACACAGCACAGCACCCGGGCAAGGTGTCCATATTCCCCAGAGGCCCAAGGCTGCTTTTCCAGGTCAGCAGGTCCCAGACGTGGGTGGTCCGGTGCCACGGGTGTCAAGGGGTGGGTGTGTGGCCGGTCTGCATCCCCTGCTGTAAATTGGTAACGCTGTGGGCTCTGGGCCAGGACACGCCTTGGGTCCCTCTGTCCCTTCAGCCCCACTCCTCTGCCACGTGGATGCCCAGCTGAGCTGTCCCTAGGTGAGGCCAGTGGAAAGGGCAGGAGTGGGGTGGAGCCGCCCTCTGAGGAGGCGCTGACCGCTGAGCCCATCCGGGCTGGGAGCTGGGCTGCCCCGCTCCACTTTCCCTGTGATGCCAGGAACCGGGAAACTGGCACAGGGGCTCCTGGGAGCCGGGCACCCCCGGCACTGAGTCCTCAAGCACTACCGGAATGAGGAGACCCGGGCGAAGCTGATTGGGCAGGAGGGACCGCGGGACCGACCGGCAGTCAGTGAGTTAATCGCCACCGCCGCTGTCTCCTCTCTGCAAAGAGAAACTCCCCCTTGGTGCCTGGCCTCGCGCCAGGGCCAAACGCGGGCTGAAGCTGGAAGTTCAGGCAGTGGCCGCGTCTGCCTCTGTGCTGAGTGCTTGGGAGGCCGGCAGCTCCGCCGCTGCTGTCCATCTGTCCATCTGTCCACAGGGCTGTCAAGCTGGCTGCTGGCTGTTCATCTTTGAACCCCTCTTTCCACCTGTCTGTAAGCCCATCTCTGTCCAAATGTCTGTCTGACCATCCTGCTTGTCCGGCTGTCTGACAGTCAGTGCATGTTTGTCTGTCCCTGCCCACCAGTTTTTTCATTTGTCCATCTGCACATCGTGTTGTCCATTCACCTGCCTGTCCATCTGTCCCTCTGTCCGCTGGTCCGTCTGCCCACCTGCTTCCCGCGTCCCCCTGGGCCACTGAGCCATGGCCCGGGGCCACAGGTGCACGGTCAGCCTGGCCCTGCTGGGGCTGGGGCTGACGCTGGTCGTCACTGTGCTGGCTGTGGTCCTCTCTCGCCACCACACGCCCTGCAGCCCTCAAGCCTTTGCCCACGCTGCCGTAGCGGCTGACTCCAAGGTCTGCTCAGACATCGGACGGTAAGAGGTGGGTGGGAGCTGGGTGGCTGTGGCAGCTGGGCCCCCGGGAGACTGACTGGTGGCAGGGAGTGGAAGAGGTGCGTGTGTGTACATGCCGGCTCGTGGGGTAGGGGCCGTGGGGTTTGGGCTCTAGCACCAGCCAGCCCTGGGCACAAGGAGGCAGCCTCAGTACCTTTGCACAGAAGCAGTGGCAGGAACCTACAGGCCCGTGGCAGTGTTGGCAGAAGTAGCGTTCCTGACTCCAGGGCACAGGAGGTCCATTCGCACGACACAGATCAGACACGGAGACCCTAAAAGGATCCTGCTCCCTTGTGCCTGAACTGGCCCAACCTAACCCTGGTGGCAGGCTCTGGCCCCTTTAGCAAGGCCAGGCTATGTCTCCAAGGGTAGGGCCTTCCCAGGCTCCATATGTGGATGCTGCCCTGGCAGGTGCACACAATGCTGCCCGTTTTCCCCTTGGGCCTGGGCTCCATTGCCAAGTCTCTCAGACCTTGGAAACCCCTCCTGCTGGTGCCATACTCCCCATGGCTGCCCTCCCCGCGTCAGGGCCCGGTCGGGGTGGGCGGAGCGACTGATGTTGGGCAGGCTGGGATGAACGGGTGTGGACAGGGGCCACGGCTGGCATTTCCTGACCTTCACCCGGGAAACCCAGCCCATGGGAAACCTCTGCTGCCTGGCCACACCACCACCAGGGAGGGACATGGCAGGAAGCCCCTCCTGGCCCCCTGCCTCCCACTAAGCCCCCAGAAGCCTGAGCAAGCGTCCTCTTCCCGCAAGCCGAGCCGGTCTGCTTGCCAGGGTGTCTTCCTCACAGACTACTGTGAGGGGCCCCAGTGCCTCAGACGCCAGGAGTCTGTCCTGATGCACAGGGGACGTATGGCTGGGTCCTGGCTCTTTCCTCCCAGCATGCCCTCTTCTGTTCATTCATTCATCCAGCTTTTCATTCATTCCACCCTCCCTGCATCCATCCAGCCATCCGTCCATTCTTCCCCGCTCTAGCTGCTTCCCCTCCTGACCTGCTCCTCCGGGCTCCTTGGGCTCCTCGGGCTTGCTGCCTCCTTCCGTGTGTCTGCTTTCAGGATGGCGGTGGCTGAGAATGGCAGCTCAGGGACAAGTTAGCAGGCAGCTGCTTTGTCCTCCCCCAGGGTGCTCCCAAGGGATGTGAGCGAACGAGTGAGTTACCTGCCAGCCGTGCCAGAGCCCCTGTCCTGTGAGGACACCCCAAGACACAGTGCACACTTAACCCCAAAGTTGCCAAGATGCAAATGAGGCCAGAGGACCACCAGCCCCAGACACGATTAGGAGAGCCTGGGGGGCGGGCTGCTCCCACTATCTCTGAGCAGCGTCTCCCCAGCCTCTCTCTGAGGGTCTCTGGGACATGCCCTGCTACGCACATGAAGCCCAGGGGCTGGGGTCTCTGCTCTGAGCCTGCTCCCTCTGCCCGAACTCTCTTGGGCTCTCCTTTCGTGAAGGGAGCAGATGTGGTTTCTCCCTTGTGCTTTGTCAAACAACTCTCTGTTTCCTGTTCTTGTTTTAAGAAGCCTGGAGCGGGACAGAGCCTGGAATTGGCTCCAGCTACTATGGAATGGAGCAGGGGCTGGTGGCCCCCTGCAGGGCTGGGGCTGGGGCTGGGGGAGGCTCAGGAAGGGACCTGGTGCAAGGTCCTCCTGCCCAAGATCTCTTCCTGCAGGGTCCCTGGCCACACCACTTCAGGGTCTGTCAGCGGACACCCGCAGCCCACACTCCTCTCCCGTCCCCTTCTCTCCTAACTCATTTGCTCTGAGCCCCTGGGCGAGGCTTTATATGAGGAGCCAGCAGCACGGTGACAGTGAGATCCCTTCCCCTCTAGTCTGTCGTCTCCCAGCTTGAGGTCCTCATGTGTTAGACTTGTGTGCGAACTGCACATTCGGAGGTTCTGCGCAGGCATTTGTGGTCTAAGAAAACATTCTGAGCTTGAGGGTTACCGCTGTCCTTCAGGTTTTATGGCTCCCGTTTGCTGTGGCTTCTCAGAAATTCCTGCCCTCCCGGGCACACACCAGGCGTGGTGATCCCAGAACTCACAGAGGCTGAGGCAGGAGGATCATGTGTTTGTACCCAGCCTGAGCAACTTAGTGACTTAGGGAGACCCTGTCTCAAAATAAAGAAGGGCTGGGGTGTTGCTCAGTGTGAAGGCCCTGAGTTTAATCCCCAATACTGAAAAAAAGGGTTGGGGATATAGCTCAGTGGCACAGTGCCTGCTTAGCAAGTGTGAGGTCATGAGTTCGATTCCTGGTATTAAAAAAAAAAAAAGAAAGAAACAAGCTGGGTATGGTGGCGCATGCCTATAGTCCCAGCACTCGGGAGGCTGCAGCAGGAGGATCATTGGGAGTTCGAGACCAGCCTGGGCTACAAAGTGAGCTCAAGGTCAGCCTGAACTGCAAAGAGAAACCCTGTTTAGAAAAGACAGAACAGCAACAACAACAACAACAAAAAAAAAACCTGAAAAAAAAAAAGGAGGAAGAAAGAAAGAAAAAAAGAAAGAAATGCCTGCCCTCCTAGAGGATCCTCAGGGGGAGGACTTAGGCCCAGCCAGGAAAAGGGACCTGCCCGTGGCTTAGGGGACAGGCTCAGCTGTGCCCTGCTGCTGCTGCCACTTCTGCAGGGATGGAAACTATCCAGGGCTGTGGGAGGGCTGGGGTTTTCCTGGAGTCCCCATTCCTCCCTTTGAGCCCTAATCCCTGGCCAGCCTATTGGCCTGGCCCATGGAGGCCAGAACTTCAGCATAGCCAGGTAAGCAGACCCAGGCAGGGCACACAGAACTGCCTCCGGGGCTCTGACAAACAATTCCCTTCCAGGGAATTGGAGTCCGGGCTGCCACTGGGCTGTGGGGTGGAGTTGTTAGGCTCCCAAAGGGTGGGGTTTTGTTTGTTGGTTTGCTGTTTTTGAGACACAGTCTCACTATGCATTCTAGGCTAGCCTTGAACTATTATATAGCCCAGGCTGGCCTCAAATTCACAGTGAGCCTCCTGCCTCAGCCTCCCAAGTGCTGGGATTACAGGCATGAGCCCCCACACCTGGCGAAGGGCTGGGATGTCAGCTGCTCCATACCCAGATGGTGCCTGGGTTATGCTCCAGGTACAGAGGAAAGCGGGGACCCTGGACAAGCTACTGCAGCCTGTGATTCTCAGCATCCTCACCTATGAAGTAGGCACGTGTGGGGCGGCTGTGAGCACCCAGGTGCTGAGGCGTGGAGCTCACGCCACCCACTGGAGGGGCTCCCTGCAGGGCCACTGCTCTGTCTAATGACGTTTATGGTGGCTTGGCTGGATCAGGCTGACATCTGCGGACCCGACTTGGGACTAGGGCGTGACTTCTTCCTCCATGACCGTAGCCTTTGATCTGCTGTTTCCTCCCCTCTGGGCCCCAGCACGGGGCGGTGACCCTCACAGCTCTCTGTACTCTGGGCACGCTCACCGGGACATGACCGCATTTCCTCCCTCCCGGGGCTCAGGAGGAAACGGCCGCCATGCCCGCCAAGGCCCGCACTTGTGTGCGAATGGGTGTGTGTGATCCGCCTGTCTGACTGGGCGTGTGGCAGCAACCTCCTGCTCCTTGGCAATAGAAACGTGCGGTTCTCCCACTGCCCGGAACTGCCCGCATTTCATGGCTGAGGAACCCAGGCTCAGGTTACTGAGTTACCTGCCCAGGGTCCTGCAGCTGGTACACAGGAACACCAGCCCCAGCCGCAAACCCGGGGTGCGCTCGTGAGGTTGTGAGTGCGGGGGCGGGGGGGGGAGGGGGGTGCCTTTCTCCATCCTCAGTGTCCCGTATCCACTACGTGAGGTACGCTGTGTCTGCAGGCTGGCCCAGGGGCCCATGGGGAACCCACACGGCAAAGCCCCTGCCTTCACGGTAGTGGAAATAACAATAAATCCGTAACTGATGTCAGGGGCTTGGATGTGATCGCTGGTCGGTGTGCATTCAGTTTTAGGGTTTTTTCATCCTTTTTGTTTTAATTTTATTTCGTGCTGGACATGGTGAATCCCAGCACTTGGGAGGCTGAGGCAGGAGGAGGATTGCTGCTGAGCCCAGGGCCAGCCTGGGCTATATATTGAGTTCTAGATCAGCCTGAAATATATACTGAGACCTGCCTCAAAAAAAATTTTTTTTTTTTTTTGGTGATACTTGAACCCAGGGCCTCCTATAAGCTAGGCAAGCACTCTACCATTGCACTCCACTCTCATCCCAAATTTGGCTTTTTGGCCAGGTGTGGTGGCGCATGCCTGTAATCTCAGCACTTGGGAAGTTGAGGCAGGAAGATCACCAGGAGTTCAAGGCCAGCTTGGGCTACATAAGCAAGTTCTAGACCAGCCTAAAATATATACTGAGACCTTGCCTCAAAAACAAATGTGGTTTTTGTTAGTTTTTTGGTATCTAGAAAAGTTTGTATTCTTGTTCCAAAGGATATTCATGTATTAATATCTTTCTTATACATTATGTATTACATCTAATTATAATATTAGATATATTAGACAGCAGGCCCTTGGTTCTCTCTTTTATGGATATTCTCTGTTGGCTCCTCTGATGGTTAATATTAAGTGTCCTTTTGGTTGGGTTGTGTGCCAAGTGGTTTGGTCAAATACAGATGCTTGCCAAGCATGGCAGCACACACCTATAACCTAGCAGTTTGGGAGGCTGAGGCAGGAGGACCACAAGTTCAAACCAGCTTGGAGCATTTCAGGATTTAGTGAGAGCCTGTCTCAAAATAAAAATTTTAAAGGTTTAGAGATATAGCTCAACACAAAGGCCTTGAATGGTTCAATCTCCACTGCTGCAGGAGGAAAAAAAGATACTGTTCAACTTATGATGGTGTTACATCCCAATAAACCCATCGTTAGTTGAAAATACATGGCAAAAATGCATTTATTCCATTTAACCTGCCAGACATCCTGGCTTAGCAGCACAGTGCACTGTGGAGAATGGGTTGATTCCCTCTCCTGGACTGCGGCTGTCCAGCAAAG